GTCGCCGAATACTGCGACCGCTAGGGATGCGGAGCTGGGCCTTATACCAACAATATTGCGGGAGACCTGTGCGACTCGTGGATGCTGCTCCTTCAGAATACAGGATTGCTTCGAACCCAGTGCACGCGGTAAACCAGCGGGGGCCAAGGGGGCCCGCCCGTGGCCGCCAGCGTCGTGGCCTGACCGTCGCGCAATGTATTGGTCTGCCCATTGCTGACCTTCCCTGCCTCTAGCCTCTTGTATGCCAACGAGAGGAAGCCCTTCATCACGACATTTGTGTCGGAGCCTGTGATGGCGATTCCTGTCTAGAAGTGCGTGGCTGATGGTTCAGCTGTCGAGATCTGGCATCTGCGAATGACGTGGCGATGCATGGTGCAATTTCGAATCGCAGATGGGCAACGGTGGCCCAGGGTGCCTAGGGATTGTCTGTAGCACCTCTGGATGGATATATGAGCCCCCTAGAATGATTCAAGACCCTGAACATGTATATCATCGCCACATAACGTAGGTGGTCTCGTGAACTCTATGCCGTTCCCCGGGATCTTGGGGTAGCTAGGGCAGGCGCGCAGGGACTCCCGCAACGATTGCCAGTGCAAGCCTTGACAACATAAAATCCCCGATGCGAGCTCTTCGCGCGGGCGTGGATAGGTTCGGGTCAAGTCAGATAACGCAGCGCCATCTGCCAAGTGACTCCACGGGTCAACGCCGTGAGATGTGCAACCGCAGCTGAATGCTTCCATGATGATGTATATTCCGGGCGAGAACAACTAGGTACGTCATCAGTTTCTTGTTGGGGGCATATCAACGGCTACAAAGCAATCGTCCATGGAAAGCGTCTATCTCGGTCGTCCGTTAACAAAGTGCAATGCCCAATCCATAGCCATGATCACCGAGATGGTATTGTCCAAACTATCTCCTTCAAAAGCAAGTCGCAGGCTACCTGGCGCCCGCGATGCACGGCAGCCTTCGCAATACTAAATCTGCCCACGTTGGTAGACGACCGCCGCGGCCAAACCATCAAGAGTACAATCGGCCTCCTTATGGGATCCATCGGTCCATGTGTGGCCTGGTTGGGTTTCGCGTCGTCGTTGGGCGGTATCTTTGCCAAGTATGTGAGCCGCGCGCACTCAAGTTTGCGGACGAGCTGGAGTGGGCGGGTCCATCGTCGAGACCACTCAGACATGATGCGGGCAGGTATGCATGGCGCTGCCTGCCAGGCTCTTTAGTAGCTCTGCAGGTGCCACGGGCCTGCGTCGGCGAGGCGCGCGACGCGAGTCACCCCCGGGCCTGGCGATGAAGGACTGATGGAAGACGCACCTGTTGAAGTCGCCAGGGAAAGGGGCCCTCCACCTCGCCGGGAGGCGCGCCCCATCGAACTCGCCGCGCTTGCCCGACGGCTGCCCCGGCGATCATTCTGACAACGCACCTTCTCAAGCGAGAGTCTGGAATGCTGCGTCCCTAGACGAAATTGAGATGGGCGAACAAATGCTAACGTTCGGCGAATGAGATAGCGACAAGCTCGGCGACGTGGATATGCTCGCGCTCGGTGTCCTACAACTTGGCGCCATCCTTGATCGTCCGCAATCAGTCGTCGGCGGTTACAAAACGCTTCGGGTTCGAATCTGATATGTGGCCCTGTTAGTAGGTGTGTAGCCCCAGTCCTGGCCACCATCACTCCAGGACTGGGGCCGCCGTCTTGCTTGTTTGACGACAGTGGCGTCTCCCCAGTAGATGGAATCTACTGCGATGGCACGCGTGCGCGATATCCAGGACAATCAATGCCATCGTCTCCAGGTACTTCTTCCGTTCGCACCTTCGCTGGCGGCTTCGCATATACAAACCCCTCGCTAGATTCGCACGGTCGCGTGACATTCTGCTGGGCGCGCTGATCGAGAATGCATATGGCGTGCCATCTGGATAGAAAAATGGACCGTCGGCGCAATCGGCGCAGCGCCTGCCTGGCGATCTCGCGGGCGCTGACGAAAAAGATGAATCCCCTTGCCAAACGGATCTGTGGAACCCCTGCCAAGTCCACCACGTGCGCCCTTGAAATGCATGATCAGCTCAGGCGACGACGGAGTTGCGAGGGCGCGTGGGCGCGATCCACCAGATGCTGCCGGAGAAGGCTGTTCAGTCGGCACGACCGATGTTGGCTTCAATGACATCGGGGAACTCGGCGTCGACGGGTGCGGCATTTATGGGTCAGCTCCATGCATCTGAAAATCGGTAGGTCATTGATCGTGTCGACTGCCCGCTGGGTCACCTCCTCAAATTCACGAAGATCCGCCTCGTCGTCGGGCCCAATCGCCCTCGGAAAATATCGCGAGTCCCGTCTGGGGCGGTCTGACGGGCTCGTCTCTTCCCCGGCTAGCAAACCACTCCATCGATCTCACCTTCCACTGGGTAAGGGGGTGGAGATTACACTGGAATGGGAGGTGCTGACGATCCACTCGTAGCGGTTGATGTTGACCCTGATGCAGGTATGATTTGGGCTGATGTCGCCGCGGATGCACTTCGCTGGATGGCTTCCACAATGTGTTTCCTGCTGTGGTTGCACCTCCCGCTTTTGGTACGCCATCGCAAACTGAGCTTTTGGTCGCTTTTGGTACGCCCGCTTCATGCCGCCGAACAAAATAAGCAAGCTGTCGGTTACGTTCCTGTGCCGAGATTCCCCGAAAGCTCTCCTGCTTCTGCTTGATCCACTCCGAGTGCTCGTACAAGGCCCTTCGCTGTCACTGAAACTGCTGCTGTGCTTGCTGTCGAAATTGTTCAGCCTCCTCCTTCTGCATCCTAGCCGCATCTTCTTGCAACTCCATCTGCTCGTCATGGTACATTTGCCGCTGCTGTTGTTGCTGGTGCGCCATCTGCTGTTGCACCTGCTGCACTTCACCACGTTGTTGCTGATAGCCTGCGTAGTGTTGCTGAAAGGAGCTGTTGTTGTCGCTCCTGCTTCGCAGCTTGGTCGGCAACGGTTATCGGAATATGTTCCTTATTGTCATCTTGTGCAAAGGTAAACATGGCGAGTGGCACAATCTGATCCATCAGCTGGTTCATCTGTGTATTGTCCGCCACCCTCTGCTGTTGACCAGCCGCTGCTCCTTGTGGCTGGGGGTGTCGCTGTGGTGGTTGCGAAGGCGGAAGAATGCGGGATGTGGTCGCAGGTGCTCCACCGCCGGCCTCTGTCCATAAGACTTCATCTGCCTCCTCCACGTCGATCCCTTTCTCGTTATGGCGATCCGCAATGGAAGAAATGATATGGTGTCGCTCTTTCTTGAGCTCAGTTTCCAACTCGATCACCTGACTCTTCTCTGCAGCGAACCTCCGAAGTGCTGCTCGACCTTCTCAATGCATTGCCCAAAATACGGAATTGAATATATCAGGGACGCGTAGCAAGCATCTGAAACTTGATAACCCCAATATCAAAATTCTGCGTGTCGCAATTCCCCCTCTGCATCACAAGCCGCTGCAACCATTTTTAGAAGCTTCTGGAGACGTATGCACAGCGTGTTTTTGAACTCCTTGATTGCCCCTGCCCCCCAGGTGGCCCGCTGAATCTGTCGTGCTGCTGCGCAGTCTCCGCACTCGCAATCGGCACATCATGATCCTGATGTTGCTCGAAAGGCCTTTTCATGTCGACAATGTGAAACGTTCAGGATTATGTTGGAATTTCGCCCTCGACTGAGTGCGACCACGTCCACGACCCTGACGTGACCATGGTACATTCTCGCGCCAGTCGTCCTTGCGTTGACCTCGCTGTGGGGTATGATGCTGCTGCTGCCGCTGGCCGTTCCACTTCGGCGCCTTCGCAGAGCGGTGCTCTGCGAGACGTGCGGCGTCTGTGGCCCTGACCAGGAGCCTGGCCTGCGCTCGCGCCCAGCGCTGGCGCCTGTGCCAGGCAGGCTCGCCTTGGCGCCTCGTCGGGCCGCCTGAGGCAGCGGCAGCCGCCACCCGCGACGCGGCCACCACTTGGCCGGTGCGGCGCGCCTGAGCACAGGCCGTGCGGGCAGCCCACGGCACGATAGGGGGCGATGGCGAAAACGCCTCCTGGCGCGCGCGGACCCGCCCCTCCTCCTCCTCCTCCTCCTCCTCCTCCTCCTCCTCCTCCTCCTCCTCCCTAACCCATCGCGACGACGACGTTCGCGATGACAAAGCAGACGACGGCGGCGGCGACGGCGGCGACAAGAGCGGCGACGACGGCGGCGGCGACGACGCCCTCGGTCATGGCGACATCGACAGCGACGACGACGACGACGAAGGCGTCGACGAAGTCTGGAGGAACAACAAACCACACAAACATAAACTTCTGAAGGTCCGCGCGGATTTCTTGGATCCGCGCCGGACCCCCACTCCCTGGCGCGCGGAGCGTGCCAGGGGCGGCGCCAGAGGCGCCGCCAGGGGGCCCAGCGCCGATCCAAGAAGTCCGCGCGGAGCGCCACAAGCTCACGTTTATAGCGCTGTCCTTCTTCGAGACGAAGGCGGCGACGAAGTCCA